CTGAGTCTATTATTTATAATATCCTTGTTTCTAGATATTTTACAAAATCTCTTGATCACTAAAAATCACGAACATTCTAGGTATTTTAGGACTACTTTTATAAACCTTCTAAGTCTAATGCCATCATCATGTTAATAGCTCTCTTGAGTAAATAACTAAATCGAAATATTAAAAATGTGGCTTACAACACAGTCCTCTTATAAAAGAGTACACTAAATTGTCCATTCATGAATATACGGATGTCCTTTCTCATTCCTTTTTTCTTTTCAGATGTCATAAAAATAAATAATCACTGACTGAGTTCAGCGAAACTAAGATTTTCCAATAAAATTTCTCGTAAGTCAGGATTAATTACGATAGAATTACTATATTATATATCAATAAACACTCAAATGAAACAGTTTCCTCACTACATGAGAAGATTTACATTTTTCTTGATGTTCTGGCAAAAAAAGAATATCGAGAGGATTATGTGGTATTCTCATTAAAGCTCTCGCCATTCAACTAGATTAGATAGTGATTCCAAGAGTTGCTTCTCATTTAAATGCTTGATGGCATCTAGGGCTGGCTAACTAAATTCAGAACAGGAATTTTACAGCCTGTTCAGAAGTCCAGCCATTTGGGAAAGGTTCAATTTTTTTTTGTAGCTTTAAGTGTTAGTGGAGTAATTTATTTTGCCTCACTCACAGGGAACCATGATTGTGGCCAAACACTCTCATTCTCAGTGGGGTTAGAGGGTTTTTCTTCGTAATCACAGCCTTCACTTTGATGATGAGGGTGTTGCACAGGATTACCCTGGGATGTATTTTTGAGCCCATTGCTGTTCTCAACACCTTCCTGTGCGAGATCTTCCTTTCTTCAACATGTTGCGTTCTTCAGCTATACATTGTTTATCGAATTGTGATGAAACTAAGTATTTTGTCTGAATATATGGACATTTTGTCAGAATGTGTAGCCTAAGGAAGATTTCGATGTCCTTTGGAGAAGCTTGATATACATTGGAGCAGAGTTGTGAATATTTTCCCCAAAGAGGAATAGATAATACTGTGATAACAAAGCTTATGTCATCCCTTTAAAAAAATATAATTATGGGACACTATGGTAGAGAAACTCGTCACAAGCGATTCATTACTCCAATAAACGTAAAATCATTCAAGTAATAGGTTAGTAACTTGAAACTATGCATTCAGTAGCTAAAGATGATATATTTAGATGAGCCAGTATTTCATCTTCCTGAAAAGAAAAAAGAATTATGTATATGAAAAGCCAAGGATGTGTACACATTAGTGTTTAGGTCCAGCTGTAAGGAATGTGGGTAGTTTACTGTTAGGCTTGAATTGAAAGGCGGAATAATCCCTCAAAAATAAGATTTTAGGGAACCATGTTCCCCCCATATTGATGTGTTTTTTTTTTATGATGATAATGGATCTAGCCAGTGTCAGAACTGTTTCAGCGAGGTTTGCTCAATTCAATGAGTCCAATTGAACCATTATGGATTATTAATGGAATCGGACATCGCTCACTTAGTTTGGTATCCCAAATTAAATTGGAAGCAGATTTTATTTGGGAATGATGAAACATTTTTGACGTAACCCTAGTGAGAAATGACAATAAGTTTTTAAAAAGTGGTTTTTAAATATCATGCATATGATAAATTTGAGATTCAATCGATTGGAAAGTATTCAATTCTATGTTCAGAAATGATCAAAACTGACATTGGAAGCAGTTTGAAATTATCAAAAATAAATTAAATTATATTCGAAATTTGATTTGGAAAGGCAATATTTGCTTAACATTTGAAGTAACATTGTAGAATGTTAAAATAAATAATTTACTGAAATATATCAATTTAGTCGCGTAGTGGCCATGACACACTAGAATATTAGTCTAAAAATAGAATTTTCAAATGTAACTACTGGTGTTTTTGTAAAACTGACAAATATTTTACGAGTTTTATGACATATATAGCATTTCACTGATTGAGTCTCCAAGTGATGTTGCCCCCAGTGGCACAGCGGCATGTCTGCGGACTTACAACGCTAGAAACCGGGTTGCGATATCCGTGGTGGGCAGAGCACAGATATGCCATCGTGTAGCTTTGTGCTTAACTTCTAACAAACAAACCAAGTGATGTTAAAACAAAAATAAATAACAGACGAAAGATTTGGGTTTTCTTACAATAAAATAATGGAATATATATACGTGTTAGGAAAGAGAAAAGTTAAATTAATTCATAAATCAACATTTCCATATATATATTTCACTGTTAAATAAAAGATACGAGTAAGGAGCTTGTATAAAGATGACAACAATGAAGATGCCGCAAAGAGTCCTAGGTGAAGATTTCAAGATACGCAATCTACAGATACGTTTTTCAATATTTATCATCGTATACACTAACGTTATTATGATGACGAGTTTTATGGTGTACTTGAGATACGCCACTTTAAAAAAGAAGACTATTTATGTACTAAAAAAGCAAAATAAAATAAATATTTTCTTGTTTGTTTGTTTTTCATACGAAAGAAATAATGGGAACATATAAATGATAACTTGAAGTTCGGTCTACTAACAAGTCAACATTTACTTATGTTTACGCTTCAACACAATCAAGAAGAAAATATACTTTAAAGCGTTCAACTAACGAATCTGTAAACAGATGACAACATATATTATTTAATTGTCAACGAAGTGGCGAAAAGAGACCCAAAACTTTTTTTCAACGTTATGATTTAACCCATTTTCATTGATTATGTGCAAACGTTTCGGATTTATACTTACCACATGTTTCAGGATGGGTTAGATTTAAGCGTTTCTATGATACATCACAATAAACTTGTTAGACCGATATGTTTACGGTAAGCCATTTTATGTTAGTCCTTGGGTGTAATTCTGCCAGCGTTAAACGACGAAGCTAACGGCGTTTCGTCAAGTATTTCAGGCTAGAAATTATGATGAAACAGGGTATTGTGAATAGGGTTAGCATTTCATTCGTAGATAGCCTAATATGGCTTTCAATTAGATGAGTGCATTAATGACACTTCAACCTCGCTGTATATTGTAGCTTTTACCGACAAAATCTTTCACTGTAAATGAGAGCTTAAAAAAAAAGCCAACTAGCTAACATCTAAAGTCCAAAAGGTTTCGAGTTTCAGTGTTATATACCTACAACTTTTAACAGTCTTGTAATGGGTTTTTATTTATTCATACTTTTTTTTTAGTTTTATAACCGACACATAGTCAGTTTACACAACCGAGTACGGTTAATAACGAACTTGTCTTCAGTTTGTAATATTTGTAGATAAGATACGTGAATTAATTCAAGAGTTAGCTCCAAAAATTATAAAAATAACATTCTTTTTTGCTCGATAACATTTGAAAAGTTACAAAAGATCAGTTTGCTTGTTTGTAGTTAAACACAAAGCTACACAATGGGCTATCTGTGCTCTGCCCACCACGGGCATCGAAACCCGGTTTCTAGCGTTGTAAGTCCGCAGACATACCGCTGTGCCACCGGAGGGGCAAAAGATCAGTTTTTGTGTTTTTAGCTATAAACTTCGGATGGTCTTTACGATATATGCATTGAAAGTTTTATTATTTGTTCTTGAAAGATTCGGACTTCGTCTGGCCTAACGTATAACGTTTCGGGTTGCGTACGAAGGTTCAAGATTTGAGGTGTGATTTGACATTGAACTCGTTCTGCACTTTCAGCTCCGGGGGTAATATAAACGTGACAATCCTGCAATATTGCTAGAATAGCTGTGTATATAGCAGGTCTTACCGGCTTGTTTTTCCTATGGTTAGCAGTTCAAAATTAAGAGTTGGCTATGCTTGAACACAGACATAGCTATTTAGCCGTAACGTCATATAAAGAGCAATTCCGGCTGAAGATACCAAATAGCTTAAAAAAAACTGAATTGTTAAATGTAAACGGTATTCATGAGTAAAACTGTTTACAAAAGATTATATTAGTTGGTATTAAAACTCGAATTTTAAAATATAAAACTTCAGATGTCATATAAAGAGCAATTCCAGCTGAAGATACCAAATAGCTTAAAAAAAACTCAATTGTTAAATGTAAACGGTATACACGAGTAAAAACTGTTTACAAAAGATTATATTAGTTGGTATTAAAACTCGAATTTTAAAATCTAAAACTTCAGATGTCTAATTTTTATGATTCATTTGATAATTGTTTTTATACTTGTTATTTAAGTTTAGGAACACGACTCTTAACTGGTTTATGATTCCACTCCCATTTTTCTTAGGGCGAAAATCGCTCTTTTTTATGTCATAAGAATACGAGCTAGTGCTCTGATAATCCCGTTTCTTAATCCCTAGAACTTACTGTTTACAGGCCATGACGTCATTGCTATTCTTAAAGATGATCTACCATATTATTAAGAAATCCATGTTTGGCATATTAGTCATAGAACTGTAACAACTAATTAAACAAAAAAAAAAAACATTAATTACATTTCTATTTGCGATACATATTTTAATCATAAAACGTCTTTTCATCTGTGTTGCGCTTTTATAACAAATAATATCACATTTTTACACACACACGTAGCTTATGGTCCAGACTTGCTTTGTTCAATCTAGCCTCGTTTCTGTGCGTTGAAATATACACCTATGTTTGATGAGGAAACACACTTTGAAACTAATAGTTTTAAGAAGGCTTGAACTAGTAATGAAAACTTTATTAACCATTCAAGCCGTCTACAAACTTTATTATAAACATCTTTATTTTTACTTGCACAGAGAAGTTTAAGAACTATTTTAGGTAGTTATAATAAGCACTCATTAAACGTTTTACAAACCACATTCATACTGAGAGATACGTCCTCTGGTCGCGGAGTCGATATGTTTTATCATATATACTTATATAGAACACACGTCCTCGGTAGAATCTTGACGAAATCTGATCCATTCGCCTCATCAGTATAGAATACACAAATATTCCGACAGGTACGTTATTGAATAAAAACTTCAAAACATTTTATTAAAGAAGCCGCTTTATTCAACATGTAAAAATACCTAATAGAAAAAGACAAGAGTTGCATATACACCCCTCCCCCCCCCCTCACACACACAACAGAAACTAACGACAATTTAGAGGCACACGTGCATATCTAGCTCTAGTTTCGAGTTTACAAGAATCCTCAACTTTAAGGCGCAGATAAACAACAACAAATGTAAGTACTGTGTATAAGCAAGCTGAAGGAAGTTACAATTAAGGAGACAAGATCGAAAAGTCACGGCGAGTTTTAACAGTGAAGTCAAAGATTAAATATTCCTGAGAATACTATATATCAACCCATATTATAGAAAAGCGTTGTGGGATGACTTCGATACCTTCTTTTCTGACTCAAGTATTAGCGTTTCATCTGAACTGTAACCAAGAAGGAATAATTGAAAAAAGGTGTAAAAACAAATCAGATACAACATAAAAAATAAACTTATGAAATGAAATCCTACAAACGATTCTATAAAGGCTGTATTTTTAAGTAGAATTACTCTCCATGCCAGTGCTTCAGTGCTTTAACCCGCTTACTCTATGCTTAAATTAAGTTGGACAAATGAAAATATAATTAATTAAAGTAGAAATTAACTTGAAACTCATGTTTATACGTGTCATCTCCTTTCTTTTCACCATTAAAAAAATTGACAATAATTACGCCCTCTAGTTTACTTAACAAGAAACACTTTCCGTTGCCATTGACAAAATATTATTTCATTCCTTTTTTTTTTCTTTGAACAAATACATGTTTAAAATATACAATGATGTCGTTTTATCCGTATCATTAGAACATTTAACTCAATTCACAAGACATAGATCACATTTTCGAATATAAAAAATCCAAATATTAAATGCCTCAAACGTTTTTTGGACAACCAAAATCCACTTTTTTTTCGGCAACTTTAATCAACAACTAAAATTTAACTACAACAAATATGGTTGAACTTCGAACTTGTCTCAAGTTACAGTCATCATAACACTCGAAATTCTACCCTCTTTCTTTACCAATTGAATATCCGCACAAGTTCCCCGTCTGAATTCGTTAGGTTGACGTGAATGTATGCGTATATTCATATCTAGAGGCTGAAAACCAAACTTACAAATTGGTGGGTAGTAATCATTATTAAAGGTCCCATCAAATTAAAGATTAACCACAATGTACAGTGCCTTTTCTATTTCAGTCTTATTAATGAAATAAAAATTCAGTTTTATATCCTTTACTTCAGCAGTTGTTAATAACAACTCTTCAACAGGTTACTGCTTTTCACTTATCCAAGTAATTTATTCTTATGCTTAAAACCAATGGCAGCTATTTAAAACGGCTTACAGTACTTCGAATATAATAAGAAAGCACTTTGTTCTACGTGGACTGCAAATGTTGCCATACTTTTAATCTTGATACACACAGAAGAAAAGATTTGTGTACAACAACTGAAAAATAAATAAAGATTTCCACAATTAGGTAAATGTGTGAAAAGATGTGAATCTGGAACGTAGGTTACTATCTAAAATATTTTATATCTAGAATACAGATTGTTGTAGAAATGAATTTTTAGTAACCACAAGTTTAACTGCGTTAGTAAAGCGTTTTAGTGCCACACGTGGTACGTATGGAAACACATGACTGTAGTATATTTAACTCATCATTTTTATCGTTAATCGTCTATTTTAAAAGTATTTGTTTACCGTTAAGATTTGAGCCCACTTTTAACAATAACTGAAATATATTGACTTTCTTTTTCCTCCTTTTTCATAATCTTTCGCAGATTGAAAACAAAAAAAATATTAATTCATAACTAAGTCAACTTTTCTACGCTAACTGACTACCTCCAGGAAAAATAATTCGTGTATAGTACAAACACAAAGAACTTAATATTAAAATTTTGCCACAGTTTTATGTGGAATACAATTCTCGTTAAAACAAACCCTATATTGAAACTGGATAAAAAATATGAGCTCGAGGTTATACGAGGAAGCACTAGTGTTTAATCACAGACGAGGTGACATACAAAACGTTAAGTACGATGGGATGTTATAAAAAACGTAGCGAATTTTGATAGTAAAGGAAACAACAACAAATACACTCAACGTAGAATGGTTATAGAACAAATTAATATGCATTCTTGGGCTGTTTGTATGTGAATATAGTCGCTGATCAGTCAAAAATAAAATATAATTGGGTTTTTTTTTCTTGTCCCATCTTCATACTCATTCTCAAAATTAAATTATTCTTGGATTTGTTTAACTAAATACATTCAATACACAAACAAAGTCGTTATTACATATTTAAGCTATAACTACCAACCTTTCTCTTTCAAACACCCTCTCATAAAATATTGCATGTTATTTATTTCAAAGAAGTTGAGAACTGTGTATGTAAAAGGAGTTAAAAAATTCCCTAAATATCTTACAGTAAAGAAAGACTATACACTCTTGGAATGCTTAAAATGTACAAGATTGGGATATTGGCAGAGTTGATCCGAGGTATTGACGTAATGACAGCTGTGCACTTGCTGTTGCTAAATATTGTTAATTTACAGTCATTTACTATTTCATATAGGCAAAAAATCCGAGTAATTAGTGATGCATGCTTCATTTTCGTGTTTTTTTTTTCTTTCCCAAAATACACAATATGACTAGGACTCGAGTGCTGACAAGTATAGAGGTCAGCACTGTTGACGACTTTTAAGCCTGGTAAAACGTAAATATCCATTTCAGTAAGCAGACTCACTAATACAATTCTTAAAAGTGGACATCTTGAACATCTGTTGGAGTGTCTGGTTTAACATTTTCCCTGTCAATAACCACGACAGCCTCTAGTTTATTAAAGGTTTTGCCTGAAGGGGGCGCCACCATACTTTCAATTTGCTCGAGGCAGTGACGAAGGCAATCCTGCGAACAAAAATTCAGGAATATATTTTAAAACTTATATTAAGACAAAAATCATATTATTCTGGTGTTGCATTTCTTATTCGAAAAATCTCATTAGAATAACATCGAAAAACTGAATTTAGTTTGCTGAATCAAGTATACTTGGAGATGGAAGTTTACTTCCGAGTATTTGAAAAGTTCAACATCATTCATGTAATAAAATATTGAAACACATGTACAAAGTAAAGAGGCTTAAAAATAATTATTTGTTAACAAATTTTGTATAACTAAAAATGTTTCATAAAAAAGTACATAAAATGTTTGTAGCATCCATAAGACGAAGAATACTTCAGACATTGGCATCTTTTGAACACTAGTGTTTTTATTTTGTTACGCAGCTAACACGAGCAAGGTGTAGTGACATTTGATGACTAATTTATCTACGACGAATGTCTTCGGTTAAAGTGGTAGATGTCTTACTCCCGAGCTGTCCCAAAGCTTAAAAACAACATAAAATAGAAGCCGCCGAACATCAGTACAAGACTCGAGGCACGGATGACCTCCAAATACTTATTTTTTTCTGTTTTGACTTTCACTTCTAGAACCGCACCCTTGAACACCATGGGTGGTAGCTAGAGGCACAAAAAATCATAGGAAGGGGTTACCCTAACCATCTGTTCCATCAATATCATTGTTCTCAAGAATGCAGGAGAAAGAAACAAGAAAGCTGAAAAAATTACAGATATTCAGTTTGTTTCCGTAGCATCAACTAAATCCTGTCCAAATCTGTCGTTTGAGGATAATCAATTGAACCCTTATAAATGTTGTCGGATAACGTGAAAACTACAAATTGAAAGGATTGTGTCCAGTGAGAAATCGAACACCACGTTTCCAAACATCAGTCTAAGCTTCACCAATCTTTCAGTATTCTAAAAAAACATTATACCTAGTTCACTTACTTAGAGATCTACATTTCAATTCGCGGTTATATTACTGAATGCTGTTGAGTGATTGCTTGACTGTGTGAGTAATAGAGGACATAATAATAAAATATTTTGCAGTGAAACCTAAAATAATAAACTACCACTTTTGAGATACTATGTTTGATATTCACGCTTGTAAAACCCGACAAAAAATTTGTTTACTTCAGGTTAGGTCTCCCAGTGGGCCAGCGTAAGTTCGCGGATTTATAACACTTAATTTCAGGTAAGTTCGCGGATTTATAACACTTAATTTCGATTCCCTAGTTCTACAAAGCTCACATATCTATATGTAGCTTTCGCTAAAAAATCAAAAACAAGCAAATGCAAGTCACTGGCTTGTTAAAACTGTTTGCTACCGGTGTGGTCCACAGATTGCTTCATATTGAGGATTTATGTTTTAGCCTACCAGAACACACAATATAAAGAAAGAACTGACCAAACAAATTGAATGGCATCACTGTCATTTTCTATGGAACATACATAGAAAACTCCATCATTAATCAGTGGAATTGATTGTAATATTGATGCAAATTTGGCTTAATTTTTTGGTGTAACTTGTATGTTATTAGTGGCCCTGTAACCAACAAAGCCGTGGACCCAAAAGGAATTTGGTGCGTAAATAACTTAGATAAAAGTGTTTTAAAAAGCCAAAAAATAAAAATAAGGAAGATTACTGCAATTCTTAAGAGTTGTAGCTTTAATTACTGTGTACAAAAAAAGAAGACAGATTTAGAGATTGCATTAACACAGGTAAGAATGTAAATGCCTGATTTTGAAAAATAACTGTATTTTCAAATATTTTTATGCGTTTCTCTATAAGATTTGTTACAAAATCTCTAATACAATAATTTACTTTCCTGTAAGAATACGAAATAATAAAAAAAAGTTTTTGCTTATTTGTACAAGGTGGGTTTTAGGGTTTTTTCAGAGAACTTTCCAAGGCCGGTAGTAGACTTAACAGGGCAACATTAAACTTATCTACAGTAAAAGACGCCGAAACATTTCATTTTCCTGTAGACTATGAAACGAAATGCCGCTTGCCGTTGGGTGCAATGTTTTAAAATTGAGATTTGTAGGTGGCTCCACCTCAGAAGATGAGCGCAGCTGTACTCCTAGCCGTTTACAGTCAGTGGCTTTGTGATGGAGCGGCGGGCAGTGATGGAATGTACGATTAGACCTACCACTATAGGCAACGGTAAGTCATTATACGCTCTATAGCTTACAAGTGAGACTAAGAAGCTTCCCGTCCGTTTGTGACCTTGACGTGAGAGCTGAAAGGCCAGCAGCGCCACGAAAAGAAGGGGAACGGGAAGCTGTGATTATAAAGTCTGCACCAACTCCCAGGCTGCACTATATCGGGGATAATATTTCCTTCTCTGTAGACTGGTGCAAAAACCTCGTCCTACATCCTGTATCTGCTTACTCATCATACTCGGGGTGATCCCTTCTTCTCTGTCCTTCGTCATCAGACACTAGATAATTATGGAGACGTTCTTGCTGACATTATATTAGTATCACCTCAGTAAGGATCGTCCTATTTAACATTTGAAGGGAACAGCTTAGTCGCGAAGCTTTGAGATATCCTGTCGCTGTAACCGTAAACTTTCTCGGTACACAAAGCAGTTCTAGTTTTACGCTTCTTCTGAACGACCACTAAAAAATATAATAAGGAAGAAAACGTCACAACATACAAGCAACGACAAGAAACAAATATCACTTCCATGATCGCATAAACACAATTTACCACTTTTGGTTTGTTCCTACAAACAAACTTTTCACACGAGTCTCGTATTTCAAGTACACTTCCTGACTAGTGGAGGAACTTGTATTTTCTCTATTATCTCTTATGGCAGAATATAATAATAAATACGACATATTCACACACAAAATATATCATCAATTATGAATACATATATTAGGCAAAACTTACCACTTCAATCCCTAAGATCTGATGCAGCCTCGTCAAGAGTTCCTGTTGAGAAGACCACTGCTTATTTAGCCACAACAAGCCTTGCACAGCTGCACCCACACTGGCAGCAGCAACCATTGATGGTGGATACAGGGAAAAATTGAAATCTAGAAAAAAAAAATCGAAATCATGATCCTTTTGCTATTTGAAGCTATTGATAATAGCTATACTTTAACAACTACAATGATCGTGGCACACGGTAGTACTCTTGTTGTTACGTAACATAGTACAATAAATCTTTCTCAGGAACAGCGCTGAATACATTTCTTGATCAGATCCAAAAAACTGATAAAATTCTAGCGCTTTCGACAGGTCCACCTGTCTTCTTCAGAGGTTAATTTCAACCTTCATCTTTGAAGAAGTCGGATCATTCTACCGAAAGCGCTAGTTTCGCCTGGTTATTTACCAGAGTCTAGCTTTTTTCTTTCTTAGACTGAACGTATGTGTACGCTGTGTGAACGTATGTGTACAGAGATGACGCTTATAGGACAAACACGCGTGTCAAATGTATTTCCTTTTCCCTGTTTTGTAATCTATAGCTGTTAATGCACTTTGGAATAAGTGTATCATAACACATACACAAAATGGCGTACTTTTCTCTTATATGAATAATAATTTAAACAGCTAGAAACTCTCATGACAAAAATTAAAGTTCTTAATTTCATGAAGCCACCTTAAACTTCACTGGTTAAACACATTATTTCAGGAACAAAGAATTAAAAACTTGTCACAGAAATAATTTGAAACAAACGTATCTTCCGCTCTACATTTAGTTATATTTAATGTTAAAAGCTGCCATTTGTTGCTTACACGTACACTTTTGTGTGAGGAGATTCCTGAATATGCATTATTCTGGATAGTTTTAAACAGTGCCTGGGTAGTGTGAACATAATAAACACTAACCGGTGTTATTGTTTAATGTGATAGAGCTTGAATTTCCGGCAATTACTTCCCTGTTAACATTATGTAGAGAAGCCATGGTGACCTAACGTAGTGTTACGTCTCGGTTTGTTAATTAACTTTCCGTAACTTCGTTGCGACGAAACTTTAACGACACAAGTCCTTACTTAATAAAAACTGGTTTATTCTTTCCGAATATAACTTTACCGATACATTCAACTTC